AGAGGGTCATTAGACCAACTATTGATCGTGTCCCTCATCACGAGTCAAGGTGTCAAAAAGGGTGTGGATCATTATTAGCAGAGATTTCAGGTGAAACCATTGTGAGAACTTGTGAGATGTGAGTGGCGCCTGAGAAGGGATCTCAAAACTGGATTGTAGGTGGCAGACAGTTTGTGTCCTTAGCCACCCCCTCTGTTCAAGGATGGTCGTTCACAGTGGACAGAGATGGCTTCTTTCACTCCTCTTTCAAGCCGACTGTCTCCTCTATCCAAAATGTGAACATTGGCATCCTCGAATAAGTGACCTTTAACCTTTAGATGCAGGTGTAAAGCTCAGTCTTGTCCTGCCAAGCTGGCTCTTCTATGTTTTGCCATGCGTGTATGGAGTGGCTGTTTGGTTTCTCCTCACTGTACTGCAGTTTCGTCCTCAGGATGAACCAGTTTTTGTATGAAGTAGCTTAGGAGGTCATGCTTGTAGAAAATTCTCCTGAGTTTCTCTGATAAACCTGCTACATAAGGGATGACCATGTTGTTCTGTTTGTCCTTCTGATTCTCCCTAGTTGGTGTGTGACCTTCTTCCCAGTTCATCTTTGCTGATTTGATGAAAGTCCATTTAGGATAACCAAATGTTTTAAGAGCTTTCTTTACATGTGTGTTCTTTTCTTTCCCTTCTGCGCACAGCACAGTCCAGAAATGGCAAACTATGACCTTTGTCTCTTCCCTGGTGAACTTTATGTTTTTATCCACTGAGTTGATGCGAGCAGTGAAGGATTCAACTTCTTGGGCAGTGGCTTGGTGCTGTCCTTTTGAAAGAACCAAGAGCTTTACTTTCTACTTCCTCCATGTGAAGGTTGACTACAATGGATGACACTGGGAAGCCCATGACACATCCATGTTTTTGTCTGTATAAACCCTTGTTGTATTTAAAATATGCTGTGGTAAGGCCGAGATCTAACAGTTTGCACATTTGTTTGGGGGTAAAGCCGGTTCTGTTTTCTAAGGAGCTGTCTTGCTGTAGTCATTTCCTGACAGTTTCCACTACCTCAGTTGTAGGTATGCAAGTAAAGAGTGAGACCACATCAAAGGACACTATGGTTTCATCCAGATCCAGTGTAAGTTTCTGGACCTTGATGGTGAAGTCAGAGTTTCTGATGTGATGGATATTAAATTTGAAAGGCAGTTTTAAAATTATTATTGAATTGACTAACAAAACAAAAGTTATGTAAACCTACCTGGCCCCATGCAAAAAAATAATAATTACCCGCTAAACCTAATAACTAGCTATGTCACCCTTGATAACAAAAACTGCAAATAAGCATTGCAATTACTCGCAATAACTCTTCCACATCACTATGGAAGAATTTGACCCACTCTTCTTCTGCAAAGACGAGTGGGTCAAGTGTTTTAATTCAGGCACATTACCAGTAGACGGTTTTCCAGTACGAAAGCCCCGCTTAGGCTAATACCATCTCAATCTGATTTAAGCCTGGACTTTGACTAGGCCACTTTATTTTCACTCCATTTCATTTTGTTTTTTGAGCAACTTAGAAGTGAACTTGCTGGTGTGTGTGTTTTGGATCATTGTTCTGCTGCATAATTGTGCTTGACGATCAGGGCCTGAACTAATGGCTGTTCCTTCAAGATTTCCTTGTAGAGAGCAGAATTTACAGTTTCATCAAGTACAGCAAGTCGTTTAAGTCGTGAAGAAGCAAAGCAACCCCAGACCGACACACTACCACCACCATCTTTGACTGTTGGTATGATGTTCTTATGTAAATGTACTGTGTTAGTTGGATGCAGTTAGTTGACTAAACAAAAATGGGGTTAGTTTCCTTGGATGTTTTACCTTCAGGGTTGGATACTCTGAGCTTAATTAACAATTTCCATTTTATGTGTAGCATGATTGATGACATCACTACTATGCTGTCTACAACCTAGAATGATGAATTTGCAGTTTTCTAAATGATTTTGTTGTAAGCCCTACTGAACAGCTTATGATGTATTGTAATAATTTAACTTAATGTTGGCTGTTTGCAAGAAATAAAAATGAATTCATATTATGAGTTAAAAAAATTATAAAAACTTAATCCATCACTTAACCCAGCTGCCTTGGCAAACTCTAGGCCAATCTCCTACCTTCCTGTCATCTCAGAAATTCTTGAAACTATCTATAAAACTGAAAAACATGCTTACCGAGGCTGGATTATTGGAATTCGTTATTATAAGGCTGGAAAAGTTGTGTATTTCTTCATATTTCTCCAATAGTTGCATTGTTCCATAGTTTTACTGTTAAATCTGAAATTAAATTTGAAATCGTTCTCCTCATATACAAGGTCTTGAATAATTAGATTGTATCTCATCTTAAAGACGTCACAGTACCATATCACCCCATGAGAGCACTTCACTCTCGGACTGCAGGCTTACTTGTGGTTCCTAGAGTATTTAAAAGTAGAATGGGAGGCAGAGCCTTCAGCTTCGAGGACCCTCAGATAACCTCTCTACTTGTAAGATTAGGCTTAAAACTTTCCTTTTTGTTAAAGCATATAGTTAGGGATACTGGGTGTGTTGCCATGATGCACTGAGTGTTTCTTCTTCTTTTGACACGCACTATTCGTTTTTAAGCCACTTTGTATTTAATCATTAGTTATTATTAATCTCTGGATCTCTTCCACACTGTATCTTTTGTCCTGTCTTCTTCCCCTTCCCTTCCAACCGGCCATGGCAGTTGGCTACTCTTCCCTGAGCAGGGTTCTAGCAGTAGTTTCTTACTCTTAAAAGGGAGATTTTTCTTCCCACTTTCACTAGTGCTTGTTCATAGGGGGTTGTGTTACTGTTGGTGTTTTCTCTGTACTTTTGTAGGATCTTTACCTGGCAATACTAAGTACCTTTAGTACATAGCACTGTTTTTAGTGCTATGTAAATAAAATAAAACTGAATCTCTGTCTGATTTCCACACATAGCAGGCAGCATTAGACAGTGCAGCTTTATGGAAATATAGCATTTTTGAAGAGTTAAAAAAAAACTTCTGCGTTTGTAGAGTGCATTGACTGGTCAGTAAAACTAGAAAGATGCTATGTAAAAAAGTATCAAAATCCTTCCTGATTCCTTTTGTTTTTGCATATTTGTCACAGTCACATATTTCACATCATCAAACAAATTTGAATATTAGACAAAGATAACCTGAGTAAATAAAAATTTTCATTTATTAAACAAAAAGTTATCCAAACCTGTGCTATACAAAAAAGTAATTGCCCCCTAAACCTAGTAAGTGGTTGTGGCAGCATTCAGAAGTGAACTAGCCTGAGTTTTAAGGCTTGAACTACTGGCCAGACATTCTCCTTCATGGATTTCTGGTAGAGAGCAGAATTTGCGGTTTCATCAACTGCAGCAAGCAGCAAAGCAACCAAAGGCCATAATACTACCATCACCATACCAACAGGCTTGTGCTGATATGAGGTTCTTTTTATGAAAGGCTGTTAGTTTTATGCCAAATAGTTTTCCAAAGGTCTTGGGGATCATCAAGGTTTTTGTCAAATGTGAGATGAGTCTTTGTGCTCTTTTTGGTCAGAAGTGGATTTCCCCTTGAAATTCTTCCATGCCATTTTTGTCAAGTCTCTTTCTTACTTACATTTCTTATCACGAAACCTGACCTTAACTGAGGTTATCTGTGATTAATCTTTTAATTTTTTTTTCTTTTTTCGGAAAGCTAAGTTCAATTTCACTAACCACACTCAGGGCTGATTCTTCCAGACCTGCTGAATCAATAAGTCACTTAAATAGAACCTTTCTGAAAAAGTGTAGTAGGCTAAAAGAGCTCAAATACCAACACATCATGGCACAATCTAAACAAACAGATGGGAAACGAAGTCATTGACATCTAATAGTCTAGAAAGAGTTGCAAAGCCATTTCTAAAGATTAAACATGGAAAAAAAACACAAAAAACATCCTGCTGATCTCCAAGACCTTTGGGTAAATATTCTGTGGACTGATGGGACAAATGCTGAACTTCAGGGAAAGTTTGATTCCTATTACATCTGCCATAAAACTAACACGGCATTTCATAAAAACAACATCATACCGTGGTCAGACATGGTGTAGGTTTGTGCGCTGAAGCTCAACTGTGTTTGGGTTTTGCAGCAGGAGAATAATCCAAAACACATCAACAAGCCCACCTGTGAACAGCTCAAAAAAGATGAAAAAAATGAAGGTTTTGAAGTTGTCTAGTCAAAGTCCAAAATCAAGCCTGATTACGATGCTTTGGGAGTTTAAACAGGACGTTCATACTGAAAAACCTTCGCACTCATTGCTTCAAAAGGTGCCACAACCAATTATTAGATTTAGGACACAATTTGTCTTTCACACAAACCCAGCTAGATTAGGATAACTCTGTTTGCTTAATAAATGAAATCCTTGTTTAAAAAATGCATTGTGTATTTACTCAAGTTATCTTTGATAATCTGGAAGATGCAAATGTGAAAAATATGGAAAACACTAAGAATCAGGAAGCAGCAATTAAAATAATTTTTTTTAACTTTGTTGTTAAAAAAGGGTTTTTTCCAGAAATGACACCACTGATATGTAAACTACTCTCGTCCACAGATACTGGGAAAACACTTGAGCACAGATACACACTTGCAGATGCACACACAAGTACATGTAGGCAGACAAATCTCAAAAAGTTACTGTAGAGAAACTGAAGTCTGTTAACCAGTAACTTCAATGCATTCCAGCTACAAACTCCATGTTAATTCCAGCCCCTGATCAGCAGGTTTGCTGCAGTCTGCAGGATTTGTTTCAGCCTTCGCATATGTGCCTGCTTTTGATCAAACACGAATTTATATTGCGACACTGCTTGATTGAAGATATCAGTCACCAAACAGTTAGGGCACATATAACCAGGACTGTCAAATCAACAAAGGCTGTCTAGACTAAAGCTTCCTTTCAAAGTGGGAAAGCTTTCCTTTAACAGCTGAAGTGTAACAACTGTGGTGTAGTTTTACCTGAGACAGCGAGAGGGACGAAAACATCATTTTGACGAGATGGAGCTGAATCACAGCAGGCTGTGCGTTAACATAAACATTTAAATCCTCATAGCGTACTTATTTGTTTTTGGAGATATCTGTATGTTCTTCCATGTCGGGATTCAGTTAAGCAGCGATCCCTCTGGGCGGGAGAAAACGCTGCATTTCCTGGGCTGTTAAAATGGGCTTTTCCAAAGAATCCACATATGAGAGCGAACGACTGCTGTGTCAACTCCAGAAACGATCACACGCCAGAAAAGTTTCGCCCCCGGAAAAATGTCCCGCGGGGGGAAAAAAAGAAAGTTGTTCGGAAAATATGGCCAGAGGTTTAACGGAACATGGGAGTTGTGTCATTTAGAGAGGGAAGGAGATGAGGGGGCGAAGAATAAAAGACAGAGCGCTGAAATGACGTTATGAATTCAGCCCATCCCAAACTATGAGCTTAAAGCTGCAGCTGCGCTCTCACTGCCCAGCTGCCCTATAACGCGCACAGCACTTTATCTCAATAACAGCTGCACCTCCGTCCTGCAGTCTTAAAAATCATGGATTCAAACTAGGTGTTCAAAGTCCTGACCGACTGCATTCTAGTGAAATGGGAAGCATTAAAAACCTGACCAAGGTTTATATTATAATTGGATATCTCATCCACAAATCGGCACAATGGTTCCGCGATATACAGGCAAATGGTCAATTAGAGACACCAACACCGATAAGTGTCCTATCAATGTGTGAGTAATCCAACCACGTGCACCCAGAACCTTCTGCAACGTACCCCATCACCTTAATAGGTGTTCAGCAATATCATCAACAGGCACAGCATGTGTTTCACAGTATTTTCCTGCTTCTCAAACCATGTGAGTCATCCTGTCCTGTGGACACTTGGAAATATTTCATCACAGTAAAAGTGATTACTAAGAATAAGTTTGTTTGGCTTCACTCGACCCTCTAAGGTGACTGTTGACCAAACTTTCCAAACTGTGGCAGCAAGACTGAGTACTCTCAGGGTAGATAAACCTATTTCTGTTCCATTCGGCTTTAAATGTTGCACTGGTCTGCATCTACATAGTACCTTTTAACCTTAGTGGTTAAACAAAGCACATTACAATGTTATTGTCCATTTTTCCACAATGAGACACAATAATGGTGGCAGAGCTGGCATGCAAGAGAATGGCATGTGATAGCATTGTTGTGCCTACAATTAAACTGTATCCCATATTTCCTGCAATTACTAAGTACTTTATATTGAATTATATTGATAGTCATAATTATAAGTCAGGGTATTTACAAATGTTTTATATACACATTCAACCAACAATAAGTTCCACTTATAGCCTATAATCATACATTTGTACTTTCATGATATATTTGTATAACACGCATGTACTTCCTTTTCTACTCAGAATCCTTACTTTTGATATTTAAATATTCGTGTGGTACACAGTTTACAGTAGTCGTTTTCAACACTGGATTTACAAGATGTGAATACCTTCACATAAAGTTCCGAGACACAAGAGTCGTGTACTGTGTGAGCAGGGGCATGCCATCTCAGTCGGTTGAATAGGCTAAAGCTTTTCCTCAGGCAGACATTCCTCTGGGTCATGTACCGCATTTAGAGGGACTGATGAGGGGCAGCATCTGACTCTTTTCTACTCTTGAGCGGATTCTCGGATGTTTGCTCACTTTGCAAGTTGAACATGACTCTTTGAGTGTTTCCAACTGATGTGGTTCAAGAGGACTGCCTCCACTAACTGTATTTTTTCTCCCTCTTTCAGGCAGCTCTCTGACTGGGCTGTAAGCCGGGGCAGGAGGCCCTCTGTCGGCCTGTCATTCTAACTCAGCCCGCTGGCTCTAACTGCGGCCATTTTCTGCTGACTAACACAAATGCCCAGAAACATCCACACATCCACAGACCGAGAGGAGGAGGCGGAGGAGGAGGCTTGAACTTCAACTTGGCCTTCCACCGTCCCGCGTGACGAGTGGAGCGGTGGCGGAGGGCCTGCTGCTGCACGCGCTTCAACAAAGCCCCTAGCTCAACAACTTTCATCCCCTACTCCACACCTGACACAGCAGGGCATATTTTCCGCTTAATCGGTCGAAGTCAGGGCCCGGAACCCATAGCCTGTGGGAAGAAGCTTGTGTAACGCTAATACGCCACGTTCAAAACTTCATTCAAAAATACAACAGTTAAAATAGTTTTTGTTTTATCGCTGGCCTAACTAACATTCCGTGTGTAACATGAAATCATTTCGTGTCTAAATACATTTTTGGCAAATTCGGTGCGCATAAAATACTCAGAAAGAGCTTTACGGCAACGAAATTTCCACTTTCATAATCGTAATTGCTGCTGGCTTCCGCCTTGCACTCAGCGTTTGATGGAAAACGTCAGCTGGATAAAAGGGCAACCCGACAGGCAAAGTTAAGATTTTATTGAAGGGTGGGCTTTAACGTGTATCATATGTGTGCCGAATTTAAGGATGGGCCCTGACAGTTCAACCTTGTTCCCACTTATGTTTTGACTGCGTGTATATTTGTTGTCATGCGCAGGACAATTCATTTTGCCATATTTTGAATGTGATTTAGCGGGCAGAATCTCTCCAGGAAAACGCCAGGGATCGGACCGTGTTCAAATGCTGAAACAAACTAAAAGAAAAAATGAGAAATACGGACGCAGGCTTGCTGACATTAGGACGGAACTATCGCACCGCTTTCTGCTCCACTTTCAGCTGCGTAGCCTGCGTTACTCAGTCAACTCCTCGCATTGCGTCTTTTTCGGAAAACACGAAACAGCACACCAGTGGGAAGGGACACACTGCTACATTGTTGTACCGGAACAGGTTTTGTCCTACCATGTCGAAGCTGAGCCGCCACCGGGGAAAGTTAAAGCTGATATCAGTGCCTGCCCATCTCGCGCTGTCGTTCGTTACCATTCCATATTCATGTCTACCATTGTGCGCGTGCCAGCTGGAGTATAACCGCGGTGCTCGAGACCAGAAACGTCCCGCGTCAAGCTTCGGGCTCCACGGCAATAACCCCCCCACCACACGCGCGCGCGCGCGCACGCACACATACACATACACACACACCGCCTGGAAGGCTGCGGCAGAACAGACCAGTGTTACATTAACCTTCCACCTGTCTTCTGTTCAGCGTTTTCCTCGCTTCTGTCTTCCTCATATTAGCTCTTCTTCCTGATACTGTGAAACGTTTTATTCCTTCCTTTAGTTTTTTTTTCACTTTTTCCTTTCTCACTTTGTTTGACTGCTTTGCCTTCATGTCTCTTCACCCTTTTTCTAAGATCGTAGATGAGCAGATTCAGTCCTTAGAGAGAATTAAGGGTGAGCCTTCATCTACAGTAGTCAGAAATCCTTTGCTTTAGAAAGTCTAAATATTCACTTTCTGCCAAGGTTTGAGCTTCATTTGTCTTTGTTTTTTCCTTGGGACACACTCCATAAAGTGAAATGCAGTGTTTTGAGACCAGAGCTGTGATTTTATTATTAAATTAAAAGCTGAACAATTAATGAATCCATCTGCTGTTCCTGCTGTTCGACAGTTCCAATTAAACTACATAAACAGTGGTAACAATGTAAGCTTGTGAAGATTTAACTGTGATCAGACAAGGCTCTCGTGTCTGTGGCATGGTATCTTATGTTTTGACCTCTATGGATTCAGTCAATCTATTGCCGGTACTAAAAAACGCAAAAACAAAAAAAAAAATCGGAATCTTTTGGTACAACGTGCCATATTTTATTCCTGTTAATGTTTGGCTTTGTTTAGCATTCACTAAAAATAATAAATTAGTAATAATGCACATAGTAACGTGTTACTTTGTGGAATCTGTATGTAGACTGAGGAGATATACATATAGAAAGCATCAAAGTACTGATAAATCTGCTGCTGGTCACCAGATGTCAGATTTCCCATCTGGGTCCCGACAGTGTGCCTTTCTGGATGAGCAACAATACGGACCAGTCATTAATAATCAATCTATAACTTCACATTAAGCAGTCTGTGTGAACTGAATAACCACTAACAGCAAAACCAAAGCATTTCCCAAAGTGGGATGAATAAAGTATTCCTTTTATCTTTATTATTAATTCAAAGCATCTTTCATGTATTTTTTTTTTTAAAGAATGCATAATGATTTCAGCTCATTCATTCAGTCATGAATGCAATTTATCATAGAAAGCACTAATGCTAAACTTCCACTAACATGCATATTTCTCAAGTTTACAACACATTTGTTGCACACATGAATTAATGTTTCTTTTACATTCTTTAATAATTATCCACATATGTATTATGTGATGGATACATGAATTTACATAAATAAACTTAGAGGCATATAACTGCCTTTAAAGAGACATTTTGCTGGTTTGCAGAACGGTTGTGGATCCTAGCCCTCTTAGGCTCTTCCTGTGTCCGCATGGGTTTTCTCCAGTTTCCTCTGGTTTCCTCCCACAGTCCAAAGGAATGCATGTTAGGTTAATTTGTTACCAGTTAGTCTGGCTTCTTGTGTAAGGTGCTCTAAATGGTCAGGAAAATTAGAAATGTGTCATGCACATCATGCCACATCATGTGGTTTGCCTGTTTCGTCAGCATTCGGGTTCTTCTTCCAGGTTCCCTGTTACAATGTAACCCTTAAAACTTGGATCTCTAAAGGTTTTATCTTTATGAAGCTACCTCTAAGCACAAAACGTGGGCTGGGAGGTGACCTTGGAAGCCTGCAATGAAAAGTTGGTTTTTGGTTTGCAGTTTCTTATTTGAGTAAGTGGTATCATAAATAAATTGCCCAACACAAATTGGCTGGGTGACTGGCTCTCTGATAATATCTTTGCCCCTTACAAATGAGAGAAAACTGTTTAGGCTGACCTTTTACAACACAACTAATATATTTTATCTGACAATGCGACTCGTCAGGGAAGCAAACTGTGTTATCAGTAAAGAAAAGAAAGAAAGGAGATGGAGAGGAAGTGAAGTGAGGCAAATAAGTTGTTAAAACAAAATGCAACTAACAAGTTTAGGTATGAACAGAAGTTAAATACAGGGACCCAGCGTCAGATGCGAAACGTATCCATCATCATCATAACCCAGCACAAATGAACACCATGAAACCCATCACTCAGAGAGAGTGAAACAGCATTAGTTCCATCTCCAAACCATATGACACAAGGTGAGCTCAGATAGTGGCAACTAAAGATAATCCCAAGCAATCATTTGAATCAACAGCAGGGCAAATTTTTGAAGAAGCCATTGTGTTGGATTTGAATCCTCTGGCTGACTGAGGCCTTTCTGTGTGGAGTTTGTATATTCTCCCCATGCCTATGTGTGTTCTCTGGTTTTCTCCCACACTTCATGCATACATGGGTTAGAGTAAGGCTGAGGAATGAAGGTTAAAATGTCATAACATTTTAAACCGTGCAGACTTGTAGATATATATATATTTATTACATGGGGTATATGACCAGTAATTACTGGCTACTCTAATGGCCAGATTGTTGTGTACATTACAAGAAGGAAACACAGACTGCTTATGTATAGGACTCAGAGTTCGAGTAAATGCAGCTGTCTATAATGGATACATGCATTTTGATCCTCTTTGAGTCTACTGAGTCTCATCTATGGTAACACATGGTGAGACATCACTTTGTAAACTGTAAAACTGCAACACTATGAAATATTATGCCGATCTATAGCATCTTATACTCCTATACTCATAATACCCTGTACTGCTGAAATGTATTCATACATTTTAGTACATCACAATAACACATATTTTTGTGAAGTGTTGTCTTTGCACATCTTATGCATATTTCATGGTTCTTATTTTCGTCATCACTTTACAAACTGTTGAACTACATAATTTAAAGCATATTTAAAATATTCTTTGCAGATTTTATATTCTTTTCTCTTGTAGCTTTACTATATATCTTTTCTAATATGTTCTTTGACAATGTTTGCTCTCACTTTCCTATTTTTCATGTTTTTTGCCTTATTATTCAGAATCAGAAACAGAATATTTTATTAATCTCCAAGGAAATTATGATTGATATGCGCCAAAAGTCGAAGACAAATTCCTTTTAGAATTGTCTTCAGTTGTCAGTAGAGACTCTGTAAGCTTCAAACAGCATCCACGTTAGGATCTGCTTTGTGTTTAAATGACTGATCTTCCCTATTGGACCAAACAGGTATCATTATACATGAGTGTGTCCTAGAAAGAAAAAAAAAAGAGTAGTTGCTGACTCAGCTCACTCCAATCTGCATAGTGCCCCCTGCTGGAGGCATACATGTTCACTCACACAGATGCATAAACTCTCTGCCTGAAGGTCTTTTTACATGCGCAACTTAAAAGTTGGTCATAGTGCTGAAATATGAATAGTAGTAACACAAAGCAGAGAGGAAAGGTAATCTTTGCATAATCCCTAGCAGTTTATAATTTCATGGAGTCAGCAGACAAAATGAGATGTTTTGGCCGCAGGCTG